CTTATGTAACTTTGAGATGTGGTTCTTTTTTTCCTCCCTATGTAGTTCCAATAATCATCAACAGTTTTATGTTGATAATGCCAGGAACAGCACCAGGAACTGTATATGGCCTTTATAGATTTGCCCAAAGCCTTCGACTCTGTTAACTGTGAGGCTTTGTGGAAGATCTTATCAAAGTTTGGCTTCCCAGGGAAATTTATCACCATCCTAAGACTCCTTTCTCACCAGATGATTGCCTCCATCCTATGCAGTGGCTGTGCTATGGAGCCTTTTGCTATATGAACTGGCATCAAACAGGGCTGCACTAGTGCTTGCAATCACTAGAATTAGTGATTGCACTAATTCTATTTTCCATCCTTCTTGACATCATCAAAATGCTCATCCTTGACCTTCTGCCATATGACATCAGCATCACGTACAAGATGGATGGGAAGTTTTTCTATCTCTTCCCCTCCCATGCCAGAACCAAAGTTACTTCAGCCTCATGGAACTTCAGTATGCCAATGATTGTGTTATCATTGCACATACTGAGGGGGACCTACAAACAGCTTTTAAATTTTTCTTCCAAACATACTAGTGCCTGGGACTGACCCTTAACATCACAAAAAAAAAAGGTGCATCGGCCTGCTCTAGGCCAGTCAACTCCCCTGGCAAAGATCCTTTTTGATGAGCAGGAGCTGGAGAATGTTGAACGCTTTGCATACCTCAGCAGCTAAGGAGGCCAACATTAATGAGGGGATCTGGTATAGGATCCTGTGTGCCAGCTCTACCTTTGAAAGACTGTATCATTGTGTGTTCAATGATCACAACATCATGACTCGAATAAAGTTTCCACTATATATGGCTGTGGTCATGTCATCTCTTCTCTGCAGCTGTGAAGCTTGGGTGACCGCCTGAAAAGCCTGGAACACCATCACCAGTACTATCTCCAGAAGATCCTTGGCATAAAGTGGGAGGATAATTGCACAAATGCCAGTGTACTCACTGATGCCAACACCACTAGTATGGAAGTGCTGATTATTTAACATTAGCCACAGTGGACAGGGCACTGTGTAAGCATGCGTAATGTACATTTACTAAAGCAATTGCTATATTCACAATTCAGCCAAAGACAAAGGTCTTGTGGGGAGGGGCAGGGTGTGTGTGTGTACTGGAAATGCTTCAAGGACACCCTCGAGGTGAACATTAAGAAGTATGGCATTGAACCATGAAGGAATTAAAACTAGCTGAGGACAGGGCTACATGGTGACACCATGTGAAAGACATTACATCTTACTTTGAGGGAATACCGTGTCATCCTGAAGGCAGACAATGACAGAAATGGAAGAAAAGGAAACAAGATTGGGAAATCCATGGTACAGCCCTCCCTTTAACCATCACCTGTAGTGTTTGCCACAGAGCTTTCACCCTAGGATTGGCCTGCTGAGCAATAATGGACTCATTTACAGCCCTTTACCTGTCCTATGGCAGTGATCACTCTCAACTGTGAGGGATTGCCACTACTGCCACCAATGATTCCTTTGATAGAAGTTAATATTGGTTTGGCAGTAAGGACCTTGGGGACATATTGGTTTGTCTGTAAGGACCCAGGATCCATGGTCCCATAGCAGTTACACATATAGAGTGCTGTGGTGTTAGTGAGAGTCATTCTGGGACAGCCTCACTACATTGGTTGTTAGGAAATATAACTCCTAAGCCCACTGTTGTGTGTGATGAGTATAAAACTTTTCGATAAATGTAAATCAAGGAACTTGTGATAAATTTGAGACAAAAGTTTAACACATCCTCAGCTGGTCCAAATTGAAGTCAATTGAGTTATATTTATATCATCTCATGATCTCGCCCAGTATTCCTATGAGTGGGTGGAAAGCAAAGCAGAGCAGCACCTTAGAGACTGACTCATTCAGAAAACCTTTGTAGGTGACTGCCTATTTCATCAGATGCTATAGCATCTGACAGTAAGCTGTGGCCTATTACAGTTTATGTCTTTCTGAATTAGTTAATCTCTAAGGTCTTTGGCAGAGGTTGCATTTAAATGTGATTAGTCTATTAATCAAGTCTTAAATAGTAACCCAACCACATATTTAGGGAATCAGTGAGTCCACAAAAAGAGAAACCAGCCACAAAAATATTACACATTTTGGTGTAATATTTTTGTTACTGGTTTCCATCACACTTTGAGTGGAATGTGTAGCAGGGTTAGCACCACACCAGGGTCTCCAACCTACCCTGGTGTAGTCCTCTCTAGCTAACAATCAAGGGAGCAGCTGATTGTTGGCCAGCTCTGGGGACTAACCAGGGGCTCATTGGAATCCCGGTGACAGTTCTGATACAGCCAACAGTCAGCTATCTCTGGTAGCACGAGAGCTGTTTTGAGCCCCAGTGAGATCTTGGAGCCAGCTGACAATCAGCTGACTGTTTGGCACCAACTGTCAACTTGCCAGGGAATAAGAAGCATAGGATAATCATCATGTGGCATGGCAGGAGGTGCAATGGTTGGAATTGGAGATTAGATTCCATCATGCCTTTACCTGAGCATTTGCCTGAGGTGCCACCTGACCTGCCTTCTGCTTGCCTTCGGACTAACACAGCTAACTATGTCTCTCTATAAGTAGGTGAAAAGTTTAGACTCGTCCAGTAATTTTAAGAATGCACAAAAATTTAAGACAACTTTTTTCTTAAAAATAATTTGTCATGCATTAGAAAGAATTGTTGCCAATCAAACACCCCAAATTAAGTAGTCCTACCTATAGTATGCATTATGTATTCAATGTTTCATTCTTTATTTATCTTTCCTTCCCAGTCCCCTTTTTGCACATCCCATCTAACCACTCTTTCTCTATTTGTCCATCTTTAGTTCCATTTGAAAACCAAATGTTGTTCATTCCTTATTTTTAAAATATTGACCCCTGAATCAATAACCAAATTTAAACTTACAGGTTAATTTTAATTGTCTGTATAAAGTATCACACCTCTTCAGTATCATATTGCACTTATAAAATAAAATTTGACTGTGTGATATTAACAAACAGTTTCCCCCCATTGGGGGAAATACTTGACTTTACCCTCATTTGTCTTGCAGACAAATGCTTAGAGATGAGGTTCGAAAGGCAAACATAATAGCTTAGCAGGTAATAAATGCACAAGTAATCTCATTATATGGCTGGTGAAGCTATGGGAGTACCTGTTAATCTCATTTCCTCAGAAAGATGTATAAAACTGAATTTCACACCTTCAGGTGCAGATAAATATAGCCTGCAGAGGTGATGTGATTGAGCTTGTCTCCCTCCTCCTTCCCTCCCTTTTTCCTTCCCTTCTTTCATCCTTCTTCCTTCCCCCAATAATGTATTTGGAAACATTAATGCAAATCTGGCTACAACCAAAACTCTTTGATCATCAACATCAGAATCAAAACTTTGAATACGTGTCTTATATCAAGTATTCCTTGGTGAGCTTTAGGATATAGGAATAATTACTTTGATAACTTTTCATCCATTGTAGCAAGTTCAGAATTTCATATGTATAGCAAAAGAGAAAGCTTCTGTGCCCAAATTCTCTGAAGGTGTAAATGCGTATAGTGGAAAGAACAACAATCTGATACTTTCTTTACATAACATACATTAACCTGAAGTTTGCTATGGCCTTATTAGAAAAACTAAAAGCACCTGGGAACCTCTTGTGGTGGCATCTAAAAAGAAGCTAAGCTCACCAAATCAGTCCGTCTGGATGGCTGATCACTACTATTATTTTTCAGTGTTATGGGATCAGACAGATGGTCCAGTGGTTAAAGCAAAAATTCTAGTGTTCAGGCGACTTAGGGTCAATTTCATGCCCTGTTACTCCTATTCAGTATGACTTATGTCAAATTTCTTATGTTAAATAATCCCATCTCTGCTTCAGTAGATAATGTTGGGTTGTGTTGCAAACCACTAAGATGAAATGTTCCCATGTTTCATTAAATACAGAATGTATTTTTAATTTTGGTAGATTAAAACAAGGCTGTCAGTGCATTGGCTGAAACACTTTCCTCACCTCAACGGTACATTAATGTTTATTTGATTTTTTGCCAGTTGAGAGTGTAATACTACATTAGCTGCTGAAGTGTCATGGACTCTTTGGAAGGAAAAAAATCATGAGGCATTCTATCCTATTTTTGGCATTTTAAAAACTTGACATGAAGCAGCTTTGTCAGAACAACAGTAGACATTGAAATGAGAAAATATAAGCAGTCCCAGCTGAACTACCAACAAATCTGCCCTCCCAGCCATGGCTTTGTTGCTTTTAAAGCAATAGCAGCTGTTTTGGGAGTTCTCAGCATGGGTATGCTGCCAAGTTATGCACTCTGTGGGGCAGGGCCAGACAAAGGCATGGGCAAACTGGATAGCCGCCCGGGGCCCAGACCCAAACGGGGCCCAAAAATGGTATTTTTTTTCCATTGTCCAATTATTATTATCATTATCTCTAGCAATGGGGGGCCTGATGCTGTAAGTTCACCTGGTGCTGCCAGAAGTCTAGATATAGGGCTGCTGTGGGGGTAGAGAACAATTCTGGAACCCCTCCTAATCTTGGCACTCTGTCCAGATGCTCCTCTTTCCCACCCCTATTTACAATACTGACTATTCTACCCTTCCATGCTAGTGAAAAAAAGTGTGCCTCATGCTGATCCAGATTCATATTGTTGCTTGTGAGCCCTGTTGAAAGATTACAAAATGTCTGATTTTTCTGGGTCTGAGAGAGGAAAGATGCTTTATTAGGGACAGGGGAATAGTTCATTGATTAAAGCACTATTTTGGGATCAAAAAAAGAGAAAAGATTAATTCAGCTTCTTATTCCACCATCCACTTTTTATGTGGCATTTTGACAAACTCATTTTGCATTTTTCAAAACTCATTTAGGAGCTTGAATTTAGGGCCTTGTTATACTGTAATTTTGGAGCTCTTAATCCCTGGATTCTCTGCCCATTAACACCTGAAATGAGCTTTAAGCACTCATTATGTGGTTCAGAGTTACACTATGCCAGGGCAGGATTATCTCTGATCTGTGCTACCCATCTTCTGTTGCACTAAGTTGTAACCACTGTTGCTTTGTGGGGTCGGCCCAACTCTCAGGATCTCAATATTGCACTGTTAGACAGGAAGATGTGACACAATTGCACATATACAAACACACAAATCAATTGGATGCATACACACACACACACTACCAGCTCAGGCACATAAACATCCAAACTAGTCTAGACATATGCATACCTATCACCAATTCAAGCACATACACTATACACCCCAAAAGTTAGACAAAAATCAATTGTCCATACCCGCACACTCAGTACACATACGCAGATCACTAATTCATATATCATACACACAATGACACACACACACATATACACACACACACACCAGTTCACACACATACAACCCACTTACACACAGGTAAGTTCTTAACTTGGATGGCATGGTATGTATGTGTGTGCTTGGGGTACCTGGGATATTTGGGAAAAGGTTAAGGTGTGAGAGAGAGAGTTAGTGGAGGGAGTGAAGGTTGCCAGAACTCAGATTAGAACTGGTGGACTAGAGAGAAGCTAGCTGAGGAACTGAGGTTTGGGGTTACTTAAGGTATATTGGGGCTGGAAAATGAGGCAGACAGTTGAGATAGTGGGGGAGGGGGTGGCAGATAAGTGGTGGCAAGGAAGATAAAGCCAGGAAAGAGAGGCAGGCAGAAACCTGGGAGCTTGGGGCTGGAAACAGGCTGACAGCTTACAGACTGGGGGCGGGAGGGGCAGATAAGTGGTGGCAAGAAGCAAATGGTCAGGAACCAGACAAAAACCCAAATCAGGGTTTCAAAATAACAGGTTTATTAAACAGACAACACGCTACACATCCCAATGAAGTTATTGGTTCACACACATGCACACACACACACAAAAGCACTCACAATGGCAGTAGGAGAAAGAGACTTAGTGGAAGGGCTGGAGTCCAGGTAGGGAAGAGAAGCAGAGTCCAAGTCCTTGGTTGAAGAGGGGGTAGGGAGTGATAGCTACCTGATGAGGCTGGAAAGGGGTCCTTGTCCAGTAGCTGTTGTCCAGAGGAGGGGCACCTGCAGGGCCTCTGGGTGGATAGGTGCTGTGACATGGTGCTGGTCCAGATGAAGAGGGAGTCCCAAGGAGTCAGTCTTCACTACCCCTTTTTATGGGGCAGACTACCTCTGATGTCCTATGGGGAGGGCCTGTCCAAGCAATGTCAGTCCTGTTCCAGAGGGTTCCAGCTGTTCTTACTGAGCATGTGCAGCCTTGGCACAAAGGTGGGTTGCCTCATCTTTTGTTTCTTGAATGCTGAGTGTGGTTCCAAGGGCTGGGTCATGGTCCAGGTATTGGTATTGATGGTTTGGTCATTCAGAGGGAGCTATTTTTTGACCTACTGCCATTGTCTCTCAAGCACCCTCATTCATCCCCATTCATTCAGGAACCAAGTTACATTGGAGGGGTAGGTGTGAATCATGGGTTACACAACCGGGCCTGGGGTCAGGATGGAGACTTGACAAACAAAATGGAAACTTGACGTGACTTATGATAACTTACATATGTAGGCCTAAATCATATAGTACCAGTAAAACAGTAATATAGAACAGTAAAAATCAATATAAACATAATAATTATACAATATATACAAAACAAATACAACTTGCTACCAAAATAAAATGCTGAAACTTATCCTATGTCCTATGCCAATAGCTGAGGTACAATCCAGTCATCCTAAAATTTATTTTGCAAATACTGGTGATCTAATGTGTATTTCACAAATGAATACTGTATTCAGTACTTAGTGAGTCTGTCAGAGCTAATCATTTTGTCTACTATTATACAACCTCCTCTTTCTAGTCTACCTTAAAATTAAATTGTTCATAGAGGGATTTTGACGGTTTATCAAATATTTCTGAAAAAAGAACAAATGTGATTTTCCACAAAAAGAAATCCCATATCTATCTATCTATCTATCTATCTATCCCTTTATGGTAAATGTCAAATTTTCTATGGAGGGGGCGAACTGTTCCAAAATATGTCCAACAAGAGATACTGTACTTAAAAGTTCCATCCTAGTGGGAAATTTTTTGTTTCTTCCTGCAAACTTTTATCCACATTTTCACTAAAGAAAGAACCCAGACAAAATAATCTTTTTTTCTTTGTGGAAAAAAAAATGTTTTCTTTAGTATAGCAACCTTGCTTCACATGGGATCATGCAATAGATTATTTAAGTGTTATTTACAATAGGAATTGAGATGGGTTGACCTCCTACTGTTCGTTGTCAGCATCTTATCCAAAAACAGTGGGAGCAAATCTGCCTGCCACTAAATTCAATTTATGCTGTTTTGTATCTTCCTTTCAGCAGAGAAACCTGCTAGATGAGCTACTGAAAACAGATGTACATCACCAGGTGAAGAACAAGTGAGTCCTTTTGAATTTCTTTAGGCAGCTGACATTATATCGTTTAAGTGTCTTATTGCATTTGTCTATATATGATGAAGCTGAGTCACACCTGAATGAAAAACCATCAGCTCCCCCTGACAAATATAAAAGCATTTTGTATACTTAATGTAGTGGGCTGTTACTCCTTTTGCTAGGCCCAGAAGCTAAACTTCCCCCTTTTCTCTCTCTAATTAAACAAAATAATGAAACATCAGCATCTTCCCTCCCCCCTTATCCAGGCCAAGCGTGTCATTACAGTGCTTTAGTGTTCCCTTTCTTCTCATCTTCCCTCCTTCTTTAGTGTTATCTTTCTGAGAGCTTTTAATTTTCTGCCATGCAAGGCAATCATCCCTATCAGCTGGTTCAGAGCTCCTAGGCAGACAGACTATTGATCCCAATGCCCTTGCAGCTGGGCTCTGGACCCTGAGCGATGCACCTTCTTACACTTCACTTAGATTTCAAGTTGATATTAAGGTACATAGAAGTGGAACAGAAATCAGTTGAACCATGATTTATCTGTTTTTCCAAATAATGAAGACAACAATTTAAATACTTAGCTGGCCAATCCTGCTGTAATAAAATGGACAGGTTATAGAAATATTTCTTTAAAATACAGAGATACATTCTTTCATGGTCATTTTCATTGGATAAAAAAGGTGTATTTTTTGTCATAGTCTACAGATGGTTTAAATCCAAATGGATTTTAAGCTTGTTGTGGCTCCTTATATTGCAAAATGAAAATAAGATAAACTGTCTTTGATTCAGACACACCAGAAAAGAATATGTTAGAAAGGACATATTTGCATTTTTATAGGGTTGTAAATAGAACATTATTAGCAGTGCACAGGTTTCTTTGATCCCTCACCATAAGTGTGGAAACCGGAATCTGACCTCTCACTTAAGGTAGTAGTCAACCATCAATCATCTGGATCACTGTGTACATGTAAGAGGTCTAGTCACCAAGACCTTTGATGTGTAGGCCTAGGCAAGTGCATGGAGGACTGGAGGCTGCCCAAACCCTACCATCCTCCATTTACTGAGACAGAATCCAGAGGCCAGATTGAGTCCAGACTTTCAGTGCCTCAACGGTTTTAGCTTCTGCCAGAAAGCAACAGATTAAAACTGCTAGTGACTGGCTAATGTCTTAGTGAGGGCATATTTCTGTCAGGGTGATGTCCCTTAGCCTTTTTCCAAGCAAGAAGTACCCACAAGCAGTGGGGCTTTTGAGATGCCCTATACTTGCCTTACTCTGAGTGTTGCACTATTACGGTATTTTATAGTTGCTACACCACCATAAGTAGCCCTACCACATTGCCACCAGGCCCTCTAGTCAGATGTAGTTTATAATCATACCCAGAACCCTGTTGCCATAAATAAGTGAAGTAGAACCTGAACCTGTGCAAAGTAAAATGCCAGAACCTAGAGAACCCTATGACTTTTTTCCCTTCCCGCTAATTTTAGTAAAAATTTCTTACACGTTTTATTGCTTTATATTCCTCATCTGAATAAGTGACACAAGACAATCAAGTACTTGATCTCTCTCTCTCTCTCTCTCTCTCTCTCTCTCTCTCTATATATATATATATATATATATACTGAAGTGTATGTCTATCTGTATGTATGTTTGTTTATAACTTGAGAATGGTTGTTCCTGTCAACGATAAAGCTTTTAAAATCACTGAATAGCAGCTGAAGAAAATTCTAGATGGGTTATTTATCACTGACTATTTAAGGGAACAATGCTTTTCACACAGAGAGTTATATGTGGCTTGCTCCAGAGTTGGTAGTTGAAGAAGGCTGTATATATTGGCGCCAACAGCAAACACGGCAAACATTGTTTACAAAGAAGTTCTACAATTAAAAATTATTCATTTAGATATCATTTGAAATGTCTCCCCATGTTAAATATTTCATGTTAAATATGTTGTACTATGTTCTTTAAAAATAAACAATATTTTTACCTAAATATGTTGAATTAAGTTCTTTGAAAATAAACAAACACTGCAATTACAAAAAAGAAAAAAAAATGGGGGGCGAAGAGGTTCTTTTGCTAGTTCACATATAAATAAGATTTAGAACAATTTATCTTTTCCACTAAAGAAAGGTATTAATATATTTGAAGTTCATCATTCCTTCCATGTAATTCAGCTGTTTAAAGTTTGGTCCAAGTAGTACATTTACTTGGTCCCAATTAACTTCAGTAACAATTAATTTCACTTTGCTTTATTACATCTATTGTCTCCTAGGATGGGCAGCTCATGTATGGGAGAAAGAACTACTTTTTACTCTGCTATCAAAGAATAACATTTGGCACAGAACACCTAGAGATATTTCATTTTGGGACACACTCAACATGGCCACGTCCAAACAAGTGTGTCTGTGAGATATCGAAGACCCATCTGTAGCACCACACATCACACATTCCGGCATTCCTCATACTGCTACATTGCAGCACAGGTACTGATTTGATGAACCAGGGGTAAAAAAAAAACCTGCACAAAAAAAAGGAAGGTGGCGCACATAGAGGCAGCACACCACCCAAAACTAGAACATGGCCAGCTGGAGCCATGATCCAGTTGCTGGCCATCCTCCCACCTTCAGGAGTGCTGTGGTTACAGCTTCCCTGGTCCCCAGAACCCCAGGTAAGGCTGCTCGTCTCCTACCCCACCCAGGGTAACCTGTCATGCACCAGAGTATGTGTGGCACAGGTGTTCCCTGGGGACAAGTATCAGTAGCACAAGATGTACCACTACTACTTGTCTCCGGGGATCCAAACATCTGCACACACCTGGACATTGCCCATATATCATACAAAATGCATATTTCTTCAAAACCTCCCTGCGATAATCTGCCAATTTCTTAGAACCCTGCTTAATATGTGGTTAGTAATGTCAGAGAAATTATTTCTGACCTTCAGGGTTTTTTTTTTTTAAGAAGTGCATGTAGAATTAATGATAATATTGAAGATAGCAGACTATATAATTATGAAGAATTTCTAATATGATTTTTCTTCTCTTTGCTTTTTGTGAATCCTAGGGAAATAGGGTGATTTTTTAAAAGTGCTTAAAAGTATAAATAAAAATATATTTATAATATGTAGGAATCAGCATATTGATACAGCAATTATTCTTTTTAAAAACACACACACACATACGTGTGTGTGTATATATATATAACGTGTGTGTGTGTAATTAGTAAGTTGGTGGAGTTCCAGATAGGAATGTATGCTGCAACTATTGAGAGCCTCTCTATATAACAGGTTACTACCAAATTTGTAACTAATTGGCAGCACAGTTGGTTGTAAGTGTTGTTTGTACTTTCGTACCACTTTGAAATATAGCAGAAAATAATTCTGAGAGTGTGTTTCCCTGATGGAGATGAAGGGCATTACATGGTGATTCTTCTCCTAGAAAATTTTCAGCAGTCTGACTTTTGGTAGTGCAATTAGACCTTCTGAAAAAAAAAATCATGACTGGTTTGGTGGGTTCCTCCTAGTAAATTGTTTGATAGAATCTCAGAGCAAATATCCCTGTCTGTTGCTAGCAAAATACAGGACAGTTGCCCAGAATTTTCCAGATGCATTGATATAAACACAACTGAGCAGCAGGATGGGTGTGGGTGTGCATTCATGGTTGTGACAGGAGAAAAGCTGCCAGGTAGCAATAACCCCAGTAGTGTTCATTGTAGTAAATGTGCCTCCAAAATCATAGTTTGAAACTCACTGAGGCCAATGGTAGATAACAGGGGCTTTGCCAGTGAACATCTAAGTCTCCATGGTGAGGGACCAAGTGGGGCAGAGGCAGGAGCAGGGGTAAGGTGAGTGGGGCAGGTAGCTCATCCAGGGGCATGGGGGGGGGATCCTGCTACTGTGCACACCCCAGTGGAGGCCCTGCAGGGCACATACTACCCCCATCTGTGCATGTTGGAGGTGGGCTCAGCTTTTTACCACAAGCCCTTCTGCAGCTGGCCCAGGGGTGACCCAATGCCACATGCATCCCACCATTGGGCAGGCAGGAGACAAATCTTAGCCCAGCAGTGGACGCACATAGCACCGAGCTTCATCTGGGCCAGCTGAAGTGGGGTTCAAGGCACAGAGCCCAGCCTGCAACAGCAGTTGCCTCCACCCTACTCACAGATCAAGGGGTCCACATGCCCTGGTTGCAGCAGCTGTGAAGGAGGGACTGGGGCAGGGGCAGGCCCTGCACATCCAGGGTGGAGCATGGGACAGAGCCATAAGCAGCTCATTTGGGGGGTGTGGGGATGCAGGGGGTACACAGTCTCGGGGGGCATGTGCCCCCAGATCTACACGCAGGGTGGGCTGAGGCCAGGGGGCTACTGGGTTCCTCCTGGTGGGGGTATTATGCTGGGCTGTACTCAGGCCAGGCAGCAGCAGCAGTGCTGGGAGTGGGGTTATGGGGTGAGGCTTCAGCCACCTGAAAATTCACCATAGCCCCCCAACTCCCCAGTGTCACCACTGCCCACCTCAAGCACAGCACAGCACAGCCCAAACCCCCACATAGGAAGAGCCTGGTGCAGTCTCCCAGCTTCAGCCCACAGCAGCAGCCCACCCTCCCCCTCAGGGGGGAAAGGGGCAAGGGGAGGGCTCTTCCCAGTGTGGGGTTGGACTGTGCTGTGCTGTGCTGTGCTTGGGGTGGGCAGTGGCAGTGCGGCTAGGGAGTCGTGGGGGGGGCAATGGTGAATGTTCGGGTGGCTGCAGCCCCCTCCTTCCCATAGCCCCACGCCCAGCACCGCTACCTTCACCCAGCCTGAGCACAGCCTGGCCCCCACCAGGAAGAGCCCAGTGCCACCCTGGCCCCAGCACAACCCAGCTCACTTGCAGATTCGAGGGCACACACCCCCTATGCCCTCCTGGACTGTGTGCCCCACCTTCTCTGGAACCCCTGGATGGCTCCATCCCACACCCCACCCGGGCTGTGCAGGGCCTGTCCCTGTCACAGCCCCACTCCCTCCCTCATCAGCATGGGGCAGGGGGCAGCTCAAGGCCCCAGTGGTGTTGGAGGAAGCGGGGCATAGGCAGATTCAGGGACTGGCAGGAGTGGGGAAAAAGCAGAGGCCCAGAGGGCACATGTTCCCTGGCCTCCGCTTATCCCACCACCTGTCCCAGCCAGGGCCCCACTTTCCCCACAGACTGACCTTCGGGGGGGGGGGTGCACATTACATCTTGGGTTGCTTTTTAATTCAAAAAGTGATTTCCTACTTAAAAAGGTTGGAGACCACTTTTTTCAGTTCTTCACAGTAGATTCCTGTGGTTCTGATCAATGATCTCTCCAGGTATATCAACCAGGCTAACTAATCTATATTTTCCCAGATACTTGTTCTTCCCTTTCTTAAAGATGAGCACTATATTTGCCCTTTACCAGTCATCTGGGACCACACCTAACCTCTGTGAGTTCTCAAAGAGGATAGTGAATGGCTCTGAAATTACCAGTTCCTTCCAAACAGTTCCTTCAGTACCCTAGCATGCATCCTATCCAGCCTTGCCAACTTGCAAGCATCTAGATTCCATAAGTGATTATAACCTATTACTTTTGTAGGAAAACCGCCAGTTTTTCTTTTTTTTAATTTATTTTAAAATGCATTCCCTCCCCTTCCCCAACCATTTCTGACTTTTTCTCTCCCTCTCTATTCCCTATAGATAAATATAAGTAAGCTAAGATGTAGGATAAGCTTTAACATTTTATTTTAGGTAGTAAGTTTGATTTTTTTCTCCCCTCTTTGCAAAAAAGTGCCCTGCTATTTTGATATAGATATCCACTGTTTTATAAGTGATAATTATTATATTTTGTATTGATTTTTTTTACTGCTTTTATATTGTGTGATTACTGTTTTAAGCCAATATATGCAAGTTAGCATAAGCCATGTCAAGTTTCCATCTTGTAATGTCAAGTCTCCATCCTGTCCCCAGGCCCGGTTGTGTAACCCATGACTCACACCTACCCCTCTTATGTAACTTGGTTCCTGAATGAATGGGGATGAATGAGGGTGCTTGAGAGACAATGGCAGTAGGTCTAAAAATAGCTCTCTCTGAATGACCAAACCATCAACACCAATACCTGGACCAATGACCGAGCCCTTGGAACCACCCTCAGCATTCAAGAAACAAAAGATGAGGCAACCCACCATTGTGCCAAGGCTGCACATGCTCAGTAAGAACACCTGGAACCCTCTGGAACAGGACTGACATTGCTTGGACAGGCCCTCCCCACAGGAGATCAGAGGTAGTCTGCCCCATAAAAGGTGTAGTGAAGACTGACTCCTTGGAATGGCATTTCCATCTGGACCAGACCAGCTCCACCGCCTATCAACCCCAGAGGCCCTGCAGACAACCCCTCTCTGGACAACACCAAGCTGAAGGAGACCACAACTAGTCATCGAGGACCCACTTTCAGCCTAGAATAAGTAGATATCACCTGCATATTTCCTCCTCCAATTTGGACTCTATCTCTCTTGTCCCAGGCTTCAGCTCCTGCACTAAGCCTCTTTCACCCCTGCTGCCATTGTCTCTGTGTGTGTGTCTCTCTCTCTTTGTGCAAAGGATCCAACAAAATATCATGTCACCATCTCCCCTGTTCAATAAAACCGCTATCATTTGTAACCCTGAGTTGTGTTGTGTTTTACTGATCCCCAATGCCTTCCCTATCTTAAATTCCTGTCTCTGTCTCTCTCTGAGCTCCAGTTCCCCCCCCCAACACATTTTCCTGATCTCTCAATTCTATCTCCCCTTTTCTGCCCCCTCTTAGCTCCTCTTTGTCCTTTTTCTGCAAGCTCTTAGCCCTGTTTCTTTCTGCAAACTGTTAGCCCCTCTCCTGCCACTTTCTACATCCCCTCAGCCCTGTGGCTTTCTGAATCTCTCAGCCCTACTCCCAGTTTTCCTCTCCCCATGTACCTGTTGGCTCCCTGTAGTCTCCTTGCTCTGACTCCAGCCTCTGGGCTTCTCCTCAGTATCGCTCCTTTGCTCTGCCAGCTTTCTGCTTTCAATTAACACCAATTAACATTAAGTTACCCCACTTCCCTCCAGTCTGTTGGTTCTAATCCCAGCACTGGCAACTTTCATCTCAGTCTCTACCAGCAGCAACCTGAATTAAACCCAAGCCTCAGCTCCTCAGCCCAGCTCTCCCTATGTCTACTGGTTCTAATCCTGGTCCTGGCAACTTTCACCCCCTGCACTTCCACTCTCTCTCTTACCTTAACCTTCCCGCAGGTATCACAAGTACATACATGCACACCACAAATTAGGAACTCACCTGTGTCTATGTGTAGGTGAATGTTATGTATGTGAACTGATATACATGTATGTCACTGTGTGCATGATATACGAATTAGTGATCTGTGTATGTGTATTGGTTGTGCAGGTATTGGTAATTAATTCTGGTCTAATTTCTTTTGGTCTGTATAGTGTTTGTAGGTGCTTGAGTTGGTGATAGGCATGCATTTCCGTAGGCTGGTAATTTTGGATGTGTATGTGCCTGGATTGGTAGTGTGTGTGCGCACACCTGGTGGGGGTGCATGCACCTGGAGTGTATATGTGTGCCTAGGGTGTATGTATGCACCTAATTGATTTTTGAGTGTGTTCATGTGCAATTGTACACCATGCCCTGCTGTCTAACAGTGCAATATTGAGATCCTGAGAGTTGGCCTGACCCCACAGGGCTACAATCCAGGCTATTTGTTTCCTTACCCTGTCTTCCTTACCTAGCTGCTCTCTTCATCTGGTAGGTTCCCTTGTTTGTGAAGACTGAAGTAAAAATGTGTTAAATACTTTTCCCTTCTCTACATCTATAAATAAATTCTCTTCCACATTCTTCAAAAGACCTAAGGTTTCTTTGGTCTTCCTCTTGTTTTTCAGATACTTATACCCTTATACTTGTATCTTTTTCAGATACCCTGTTTTATTCCCTTTTATATCCCAGCTGCATCTGCAATAGTGCATTAGCCTTCTTAATTTTCTCCCTGCATGCCTTTGCAATGCTTGTATACTCTTTTTTAGTAGTATGGCCAAGTTTCCATTTTTTATGAGATTCTTTTTTGAGTTTCTTATCCTTGAAGAGGTCATTGTATATGTAAGTTTTTATCTATTGTTGTCCTTTCCATTATTTCATCTCTTTGGGAAAACTTACTCCTCTACTCTTAAAAGAGCTTACTTAAAGTACACCCTGGACTTCCTTCATCCTCAGGATCTGGACCATAATTTAGTGTAGTTTAATAAGCATTGTGCTAGTGAACTAATGAAAATAAGTATGGCTAGTTGGCTTGGACCGGCCAGTGTTGAGAACCCAACATAAGGTGGCTGTGTGCAATATTGCAAATTATTCAGCTTCATTTTTCTCAGTACATTGGACAACCCTAATATCACACAAAAGAGCATGCATTTGTTTAGTTTTTGTTTTGGGGGGGTCAGATTTAATTACCCAGATTGAACAGAAATGCATAGGGAACTGGAAAAGACAGCTTATTGGTACACCTCCTCTCTAGACAACTTCGTTTCAGATATCCATAGTCCAGCTAGAAAAGCTAAGGGAGCATCTGAGCTCCACTTGCATACAAAACAAAACAAAACAAAACAAAAACTTCTAAGTGAATAATTATGTGTTCAAAACTTGCATTTAAACAGTTATGAGATTCCCATATGTGTTACAGAAATCTGATCTCTTTGCGGCTCTACTGAGCAAAAAAAATGCTTCTGTTTGCTATTGATCTTTCACCAATGCCCCACTTGTTGAAATGATCTTTTTGGATGGAAAGCATGTTAGAATATATAGAGCATACATTAGTAAAGTATAGGAGACTTTTATGGGAAAATATTTGATGAGAGTGAGAAGGCTGGATGAAGCAGTATCTGGAACTCTGCCAGCCTGCAGGGATCTCATTGCAAAATTGCAAAGTCCATGGGTTTCTCTGGTAAAATGAGAAATCCCTGTTTGCCTCTGGTAAAAGGTAAAATCCTTGGTTTACTCTATTTTCCCATGGGAAATGGAAAACCCAGATCCCTGCTCATCACCAACACAATCTTCCATCTGCCAAACAGCACAAGAAATCTTGGATGCACCCACGCTCCAAGCATTGACATCTCACTGATTATGTCAGCATCAAGAGAAGAGACAGGCAGGATGTCAGAGTGATAAAGGCCATGAGAAGTGCAGAATGCTCGACTGACAACAGGCTTATAGTCTCCAACCTGAATATATGGATACATCCTAGTAGATGACCACAAGGCAAAAAAGCACCCAAAAATCTCAATGTCTCCAAATTGAAACAGGAGAATGTGAAACAGGTAGTTCTTTGTTGAAGAATTGTGCAGCCATCTAGTAACAATTGATGTAAACTTGAATAATATTGAGGAAAATTGGGCATCCTTCACCCTGTCTACTCAGCTGCATCCAATACTCTCAGTTCCACCACATGTAAATATCAGAACTGGTTTGATCAAAACAATACTGATATAGCGAGACTACTGAATGAGAAACATTGACTCCATAAGGCCTACTTAGAAGACAGCACTTCAACATCTAAGAAGCCTTCAATAACATCAAAAGGATTGTCCAATGCAAACTCAAATGCAAAACTCATGGCTGAGGAACAAGGTCAATGAGGTTCAGTCCCAGATAGGCAGAAACTATATGAAGAACTTCTATTATGCTCTAAGGACAATCTATGGGCCACAGTCATCAGGAACATCTCCAGTATTAAGTGCTGATAGCACCATATTGCTCATCAATAAAGGAAAGATACTGCAGAGATGGGCAGAACACTTCAACAACATCCTCAATCAAGAATCATCTATTAGCGAGGAGGCAATTGATCAACTGCACCAGGTAGACATTAACGTATCTCTTGCTAATCCTCCAATGCTGACTGAGATTGTGAAAGCAATTAACCTGCTGTCAATGGTAAAACACCTGGAGCAGATGCTATACCAGCAGAAGTCTATAAGGCTTGCACATGGCTTTGAAACTGACTGAACTCTTCCAGGTACTATACCCTAGGAGTACAAGGATGCATCCATTGTCCACTTCTACAAGAAGAAAGACAGTAGACAATACTGCAACAACCATTAGGACATCTCCTTGCTGTCAATAGCTGATAAAATCCTCACCAGAATTCTGCTGAAGCACCTTGTGCAACATATTGAATGAGAGCTCTTGCCCGAGAGGCAGAGTGGTTGCAGGAAAAGAAGCAAGAGCATAGACATGGTGTTTGCAGCTTGTCAACTTCAGGAGAAATGACAGGAGCAGAACTCCAACCTATACATGACTTCCATTCACCTGACAAAAACATTTGATACAGCCATGTAGGAAGGCCTTTGCAAGATTGTGGCAAAATAAGGTTGCCAAAGAAATTCATTGAAATGGTTCAGCAATTCTGTGGTGGCATGCTCGCTCATGTTGTGGATGACGGTGAGTCATCTGAACCATTCCCAGTCACCAGTGGAGTCAAACAGGACTGTGTGTTGGCCCCAACCCTCTTCAGTATGATGTTCTCTGCTATGTGTAACTTTCATGACTGTAACACTGGAATTGATATCAGTTACCAGATGGAAGACTCTTCAATTTGAGACTACAGGCAAAGATGAAATTAAAGGAAGTGACTGTTCATGATCTTCTGTTTGCTGATGACTTCCCTGAATGCCAAATCTGAGTCTGATTTTCAACAGAGTATGGACCATTTCTCTTCAGCTTATGACAATTTTGGTCTCACAATCAACACTAAGAAGACAGAAGTGATTCACCAGCCGGCACCAGGAAAGCTTACATAGAACCTACCATCACAGTGAATGGCCAGTCTCTCCAGGCAGTGGACAAATTAATTTATCTTGACAATACACTGTCGCATGTGGTTCACATCACTGATGAAACCAATGCCAGAATTGCTAAAGCAAGCTTAGCTTTGGCAGACTATGTGCAAATGTTTTGGAACACAGAGGCATCAATCAACAAACAAAACTGAAGGTTTGCAAAACTATTGTGTTGCCAGTCCCGATGTATTCATATGAAGCCTGGACATTCTACAGATGTCACACTATGAAGCTAAACCATTTTCACATGTGCTGTCTGAGGAAACCAATGACAATAAAATGGCAAGACAAGTTCCCAGACACTGAAGTTCTTACCTGGGCAGGCTTTCCAAGCATTCACAATCTTTTGATTAAATCAGAGATAAGATGGACAGGCCACGTCACCAGGATGTCAGACAAGCAGCTGCCAAAGAACATATTTTACAGGCATCTAAAAGAAGGAAAGCACTCTCAGGGAGGACAGAAGAAGCACTTCAAAGACTCCCTCAAGTCATCCTTGAAACATTACAACTTTGACCTGAAGTCCTGGGAAGATCTTGTTCATGATTGTTCTATCTTGTGAAGCCTCATCCATACTGGAGCTACTGTCTAGGAGTGGAAAAGAACTGCTGAGGCTGAGCAGAAGTGTAAACATCACAAATCTCGCAAGAGCAGCATGTCCATTGTTGATCAAACAACTGAAGATGGCATCTCTTGCTTAGTGTGCATAGACAGTTCAAAGCACAAATTGCTTGGATCAGCCATTCATATGTTCACAGAAACCAAACCAACCAGTGATGTTATAGTCATTTTCAAATTTGAAGGATGGAAAACAACAACAGCAAGCCCCCTCCCTCACTGGTCGGGATCAGGTTCACTGTCTCCCACCCTCCCCAGTGCCCTAGATCCCCACTTTCTCCATCCCACCCCTTACTTGTGGCTGCCTGCTTGTCTGCCTAGGAGAGGCTGGCTGGGAAGGGGTAAACTGCCTGCCCATCTGTCATTGCCACTACTGATGCTTCTCTCTGGGCTGGGATCAGCTGGAGAAGATCTGAAGCCTGGCAGGAGGGGCTGGGGCTGGGCAGGCAAGTTAATCCTTCCCTGCCTTCTCCCCTAGGATAGATTGTGCAGGCAGCCACAAGTAAGTGGAGGGAGGTGGGAGGTACTGGGAGGGGGACCCCAAGGATCAGGGGGAAAGCCCAGAATGGGAGGGGGGATTTTTACCTTTCAGGATTCTCAGATCCAGCTGGCCTGAACTGTGACTGCTACAAAGTCAAGTGAGCATTAACACTAATAAACATTTGTGCAGCTCACAGTGTAACTGTTAGGGTGACAATATTTAGATCTTGGGGAGCATTTGATCTGTGGCCTAATAAAGCTGCTAGCCATAAGGCAAAATGATATATTAAAAGTATATTGCAAGACTCTTAGGAAAACAGATTTTGCTTATGAATGCTTATGCTAAGCCAGCCAGTTGCTTATGCTAAGTAATCACCTTAATTGTGTCAACTATATTCAAGTGAGTCTGTGTAAGTTTGTGTGCTGTGAATGAGGCAAAGTCTTATGAATGTGGGAGATGGTAAACATGGGACAGAAAAACGAATTGGAATGTGAAAAACAGTGCAAAATTGGTAACAGAATCCTAGATGAACATATGCAAATGGGTGAATAGTGATTGGTGAAGAAGCTTCCAGGTTTTGGTCAAAGTCCACCCATTGACTGAAGAAGTGGGGTGGAGGTCTTGGACATGCACTCATAGCAAAAAGACATGTAAATGAATGAAATGCATAGGCAATTCCATGTTAATGAAGTAAACAGTAAACAGAGGTGGAGCTTGAAAGGGGAGGAGATATGGGTGGAACATAGGAGGTGTGAGTGTGGAGTGAATGTTAATGAGCATGAATCAAGGTGTATAAAATGTGAAAAGAACTATTGTTCATTGTGGTTCCCTGGTTTGTTGGTTTTTTGGGAGCTAGTCCAAAGCTGTCTCCATTCTGGATAAAGCTGTTGCAAGCAACGTGTGCTGGTGTTTGCTTCCTGCTTGCTCTGGCAAATGAGGAACAAAATCCACAGGCAATTTGCTCGTCATCTCCCTAGTCATTGGGCACCACATGGAGTTGGGGTCTAACAGTAATATGTAACAAGACCCTTAGAATGAAAGCTTTCCACTAGTGTGGATAGTACCTTACTATACAGGGTTCTACATTCTGTTGTCTAGTCCACTATTGCATTTTAAACTTGTTCTTGAAATATGAAATGATTACATAAATATCTCATCTTTTTAAAAAATGTCTTATTAAGGGATCTCTAAACAAATAGCAATTAAAATGCATCGTGTACTGCATTTACCTGAATCCAAGACTACTTCAAGTTTAAGACAAGCATCCAATAATTAGATTCTGGACATGAAAAATTATAAATGTGTTCTAATTTTCCATGTCTAGAATATAACTATTGGATGGTTATCATAAATTTACCCCCCCCCCCCCCTCACAGCTACAGTGGGGAAAGCAGCAGCAAGGGGCCTGAATTCAGGCCCTTCTCCCCTGCCACCTTTTTCCACATTACCTGTACCTCCCATAGTGCCTGTGCCCTTGCTACCAGCAACCCCACATCTGCCCCTTCTTCCTGCCCCCTGTAGTCTCTGATCTCCCACCTGGCTTCTATAGCCTCCAACCTTGAAATACTCCTGAAGATCCCTGCGGCCTTTGTCCCACTAGCATGTCCCCCAAAGCCTGTGTTCCCACCCTCCCTGCTTACTATTCATAGTGTCTCTGTAGGCAGAGCTGCCACCACTGCAAGTGCTGATGTATTGCTGTGCCAGGGCCAGAGTTACCCTCTGCTCACTGCTCCAGGCCAAAATGGGACCAGAGCCATGCCATAGATGAGCAGTGGGAGAAGAGGAGGGGTAGAGTTTGAGGGAAGGCAGGCTGCTGCTTCAGTTTTAACTCTAACCCCAGCCATGGGTTGGGGCTGGAGTCAGCCATGGCAGCTTCCCCTCTTCCAGCCTTGTACCCAAATTCAAGATGAGGGGCTTTTCCCTACAGGCTGAATGGGAGAAAAAGACTTCACACTGGATTTGAGTAAATGCAATCAAGTGATGTAATATATGAAGTACTGCATACAAAATGAGTACAAATGATAAATTATGGGATTATGAGTTGCATTATAACTTTACTTGCTTCCACGGACCTTTGATTTATTCTAGCTCAGATGTTGATCCATTCATCTATAGAAAATATTAAAATATTCCTGGGTTTTACTTTTTCTTTCCTTTTTTGGTACTTCTGCACCTCTTTTTGCTTCATGTAGCCTTTGAGGGACAGCTTGTCATTAATGAAAGAAAACATGCTTATGGCATTTCCATATAGAGGTGTTGGTCTTAAGGTGGTGTAAATTTTCATAGCTCCACTGACACGAGTGGACATAAATCAGGTTCCATTAATTGGATGGCATGTCCTAGTATTTGTGCATAGCCCTTTCAAGTCACTTTGAAACATATACCTTTTCAACTATGAGTGAAACTATTCATAGTTCTGACTTTGGTTTTCCTTCACCTTGAAAATGTAGTTTTGTTTAAAAGGTTTTGGGTAGCGGGCCTTGTCCTGAAAACATTTCATATATACTGGTTTGTACTTCAAGTAAATTAAAAACACTGCACTGCATTTCATTTCCCCCCCCTTCAAATATCAGATAATACTGAATTTGTTCTGTAGGCAAAGCCCAATGTTATCTAGCCACTGCCCCCCCCAGTCTTATAATCTATGTTTTTGCATTTCCATAGTTAGCAACTGGGCACTGCATGAGGAAAATCAGCCTCCTAACATGCAGGGATTAACAGTAAATCAGTTTGTTGTTGTTGTTGTTAGTATTTCCTTAACATAGGATTAGGTACAGAAGACAGCTTCTCTGGCATAGCAAAGTTTTAATGATTGATTTTTATCTCTGAATTTAGCAAAATTTAACTTGGGGCTACAATATAATAATAGCAAAGACAATCAAAGTGAAATAGCAGAGGGATGTGTACTGCAATTTCTCTTGGTGGAAAGAAAAAAAAACCCAAAACAGATAATTTGTAAAAAATAGCCACATTCATTCCCATTTTAGATTATTCCTGCAATGTTGGAAGCAATTAAGAATTGACTTTCTATTGCTACCTTTGGTGCCTCTTTGAAGACATGTGTAACTTGTGTGCTAAGAGTAGCTGGATGTTTAATAAATGCCTGGTATATGTCTCATTTTCCCTATTTATACTGTTTTAAATCTCATATCCAAACTTGATGTGGAAAGGAAATAGAAAAATGTATGCATCTCTTCCAGAGTAGTCATTTCTGCAGTGTCATAAATATCTTTAAAGGATTAAAAGCACTCAAAATAATGCTTGACGTCATGTACATTATGAAATATTCTTAAACATTGTGATTTAAGCATGCACTTTAACCCCTACAAACTTATCTGAGAATTTATATCCTTGCACAATTCTGGGAATGCCCAATACACTTATATTATGTGTATGTTTAATCTTTTTAGTCAAATATTAAAAATATACTTACTGTTCTAGGAAAGAAGAGAAAATTCTGCTTTCTTTTAATTCCACAACAGTATATTGGCAAGCTTTTGGGGAAGGGTTAGGAAGAAGATGGAATTCAGAGAAAGACTGGCTTCCACTGTACTCTGCTACATACAGATTTACAAGCAGTCAGGGATGAATATGGCTTGAAATACAGTATGTACTGTCACTGGGCTTCCGTCTGAGTGCTGCAGCATAGTTTCTAATTGGGAGAACATCTAAATTTCCTGATATCAAGAAGAGACCGGCTACTTCCAAGCAGATGCCTCTACGATACTAGAGCCACTCTCTTCTCTCAGTCCTATCTATGAGGGTCAACAAGCTTTGTGCTTCTGAATACTCTTTTACTCCAATTTCTTGTATATCCTGTCCTTTTTCCAATAGCTTTCTCTCTTG